TATTGCTGGCAAAACCAATGCAATTTCTTTATTATAGTTGTCAAGTTGAATCTGTTTAAGTTTTGACATTGCTTGTGTACATGATTTAAAGTATTTAACCAGCTTTGTAGCATTATCAATTACTGTTTTTACATCATGAATTTTCAGAATATCTTTAATTAATAAATTTAAAGTATGAGAAGCACATCCAAAACAAACAATGTTAGGATATTTTTCTTCAATAATACGCCATGCTGCTTTCATTACATTGGCTGTATCCGTTATAACGGTTGAAAATTTCTCGATATTAACTACTTCCATTTGTTGAATTATTTGATTAGCAATCCATTCTGATGTATGTGATGCTTCACCTGAGTAAACAGCATTAAAAAAAATAGGTTTTGGTGTACAAATAATAAAATTTTGTACAGATTCCTGATTAATATTAGACCATCCATCAGAGATCATACATAAACTGCATGCTTCTAAAATTTGTTTATTAGATTTTCTTTAATATCGTCATTAACCTTATCTAATAATTCATCTGCAAGTTTTTTCCGATTTGGTAATTTAAATGCAGGGCGAATACGTTGAAAAAATTTTACTACATAAGGATTTTCAAGAAAAGCAAATGGTACTCCTGTAGCAAACAAAGCCTGAGCTAACATAAATTCAAGAGATTCTTGTTCTTCTTCACTTAAATGATCCATAAAATTATAAATTGGTATAGTTATTAACTGTTTTGAAATATGTGAACTAGTAGATGTTGATGTATTGATTGGAGTAGTTGGTTGATTTTTAGACTTTGATTTGGCATTTTCTGGTGCTTCCAAACAATTATAGTCAAGATGCGCTTGCATTCGAGTAGCAATTCCATGTTCAAAAATTTTTGGACAATAATTGCATTTTACACGAGGATGTGGTTTGTTATTTTCGGAATGATCTTCAACTTGATCCTCAGTTTGGTCTTCAACTTGATCTTCAGTTTGGTCTTCGTCTTGATCATTATTCTGGTTTGTAGTAATACTTTTTTTAAGAATTGTCCAATGTTTCCATACTGAAGTCTTTCTTTTTCCCATTATGTATTATATAGAATTATCGTTATTGTTATCGTTATTGTTATTTATTGATAATTAAAATTATCAATTTTTAATGATAAAAATTTTGAATTTTTATTGGCTGATTTTGTTACACAAACATATTATACCAATTATACGGTATAATTTTAATTATACTATACCAATTATACGGTTATTATACCATTTTTTTATACGGTATCGTATAATTGCCCATCCCTAATCGTAACACATGAAAAAAATAACAAGACAGATGGCAATTCATGATCATAAGAGTTTGCCGGATAACTTATAAATATTAATACGATAATAATTGAACAAGCTATAAATAAATAAAATAGACTTACTTCTTTTAAAATATTTCCTAAATTTTGTGTTCTATGGTATACGTGATCCACCTGAAGTGAATCGTACTCCATCTAACCAGGTTGCTAAAACTTTATCAGCAATAATTTGAATATTCATTAATCTATTAAAAGGAATCCATTCGATTACATCTTCGTATTTTGTAGCTCTAAGTTGAAATCCCTTAATGCAATCATCGATATCCTTATTTCCACTTGTCCATCCTTGTGTTGTCGTCTGAGGGTCACATGTTTGGCACCAAGCACGAGATGTGTTATATCGTTTGCAATTTGCACATTTTCCATTCCGACTATCTCTCTTAGAACTAAATCCATCAAATACTAACATATATTCATTCGTGAATGTGTTTTGAGTTAACCCATAGACACTTTTACCTTCTAATTGCATATGATTTTTAAACTTAAAATAAATAAACAATATAAGTATAAAATAAGTATAAATATAAATATAAATATAAGTATAAATATAAGTATAAATATAAGTATAAATATAAGTACAAATATAAAGTAAGTATAAATATACACTATTAATTTATAATAAGAACTCACCTCCTTTAAAATATTTTGTGTTTCTTGTGTCCTACTCAATACTTTAAGTGTAATCGTGCATGCCCGTGTACGTAAATGCGTATATTCATATTCATCATATTCATTTTTATATTCATTTAGATATCGTAAACCATCTAACCAGGTTGCTAAAAAAACTATCAGCAATAAATTGAATATTAACTAGTCTATTAAAGTGAATCCATTCTATTACTTCCTCATATTTCGTAGTTTTAATTTGAATTTCCTTAATGCAATCATCGATTTCCTTATTTCCACTTGTCCATGACCTAAAAGTAGTTAATCTTAAGTACGCACCTTCTGACATCTCGATGATAAACTTCATTAAAAATGCAAAAATCAAGACCTTCAGCAATTTGTTCTGCAATTTTAAGTTTGTCTTTCCATAAAATTGATTTGTGTTCAGCTAAATATTTTTGAAGGTCATCTATTCAGTAATCACAAAGAGACATTTCATTCCACCCACGTTTTCATAATAAGCCCCTATACTAAATGATAGTTTGATTAATTATAATTACAATTAATTCGAAATCAACATAAATTAATAAATTAACAATTTTTCGACAGGCCCCCATCAGCTAAGCAGTGCGACAATATTTGCTTGTTTCGCAATCTCTTTTAATATTATATAACCCATCTTTTTTACTGCAACTTGATTGCCTTTACTGACCATTTTCTGGATTTTTCCACGTTCATCTATATTTCCAAAATCTTCAAGATATTTTGGATCAATTATCAAATCCTTAATTTCTATATTGGCCCCTCTCTGCACTAGCATGACTTCCGCCATGTCATTTATTTTTTCATTACTTATAGTTACCATTTTGCGCACCTCCGTCAATTTAGAATAATTACAAAAGTGTAAAGTATTAATAAATCCATTGGTTTCGTGCATCAACTTTTAATAAGATTTTTATAAACTTCGGAATTCTTAAAAAAAGATAAATTAACTTTCTAGTATATGAGACAAAAGGCCAATTTTGACAATATTCATTTAAGAAATACCTTATTTGCTTTGACCATTTTTTTGATATAATCTATTATCTTCTTGTCAGAATTATCATTTGACTTGTTCATTTCATTAACATATAACTCTATATCTTTCAATACATTTCCATAGGCTTTTTTTGATTCTTCGATATCGACATCGCCTTGTGGTTTAAATTGCTGATTTTATTTAGACTTTCTTTTACATATTCTGAAATTTCTTTATATACCATTTAATTATGATTAGCGCGTTCTGCAAGCTATAATATTTTGAGCAGCATCGGCAGCTACATTTCTGTACACGGCAGAGATTCAAGTATTTTGACGAAAGTGTACTTGGCAAGAGGTGCAATAACATCTTTGCCAACATTTGATTCGTTAGATGATTTTTTAGATGATTTATTTCTCATTTTATTATATGTTCATTAGAGCATTTGTTAGAGTTCGCAGCTAAGCTGGAAATTTCATATTGACAACTCAAAATTTCCTATGGTGCGAGCACCCTAAAGACATCCAAAATCACTACTCCTCAACAAATAAACATAAATTCGCAAAAAAAATCCATAACTTTGTAAATCTTTCCTGTAGCTATCAAGTTATGGTTTTTTTTTGATCATTTGAAATCAGCAAAGACTTTTAGGCAAGTCACGCCACACTAATGATCGGCGAGTTACGTACATACTTAAAGCTAATTGGTTGTTGTGCAGATCCGCCACATATAATACCCCTAAAATAGTACAGATTTGATTTGACTAGAGTGCTCGCACCATAACTTAAAAATATATATGCCAATATTACCATCACCCATCACATGTGATTTAATAACATTTCTGATTAGTTTAGGGTTGGGCAGTTCGCGTTTAGAAGGAATGAGTTTGTATAAGTAAAATTGCTTTCCCGACACTCTTTCTTAATATACCAAAATAGGTTTAGACTGCCGTATTTTTTGTTTTTCACTTTGTTTTGCTTTTTCAGATTAAAAATATATTATATAAGCTGATCATAAGGGTTAATTTTGATTGTTATCTAAATGGCAGAACCGATTATTTATAATTCTGGTCAAAATTGCAGATCATTGACCAAATTCGGGGACAAAAAATTAGCCCTAATGTGGGTAAATAGATGCACACCATACTAGGATGTTCATAAAATCGGTAAATAAAATAATAGATTGGACTATATATAAAACTTATTATGTAAAGATTTTTTACGAAAATTTCGGAAAATTATCTTTGCGAATGATTGTAATTATTTATTGTTATCGAACAAATTTTTTTAATACAATTTACAAAGGCACAATTTTCAAGCTAAAGACATAAAAGTTTTATAGCGAATTTTTTTTTTTTAACTTGTACCTAGCTTTTATTTCTCTCTTTTAGATAATAACCTCAGTTTTACAAAATTGAATCAGTTCATTGTTGTTAAAGTTGGGTAAAGTTTGTTCACTTTGTTGAAGAATTAACTATTTATAAATGAAATAATCGAAAAAACGCTATTATTACATCATTTTAAGCGAATTAATATATATTTTTTTTACCAAAAATTCGACTAGTAGTTATTATGTTAGTTTAAGGGAAAACTGTACCGAAAGTTACTATTATCTGTAGTAAATTCGGATTTTCATAAAAAATTTTCCTATACAGTCGGCCTCTCACAACCGGTATGCATGGTGGACGGGTTTAGTATCGGAAATGGCAGGTTATCGGTTATTACTTATGGAACGGGTCTGGTGGATTGATTTTTAACCGATTTTGGCAGGTTATCGGATCGGTTCTGAGAGGGCCGACTGTAATAATTACTACTTATGATTTGATATCACCCTAATGCCATACGCCGATTACGTATATACATACGCATTATTCGGCATATAAATTTGGACCAATCCTTTTTTGGGTCATCTAAAGCTAGGTGCATTCACGTGACTTACAACTAATCAAGTAACTACCCCAGCGTAACCATCAAAAAATCACGGGCACGTAATTTTTTGTGCCGCAAACCAATCAGATCGCAAGATCAGGTGTAACGTTGCACGATCAGGAAAATTCAAAACAAACGTT